GATGGCCCATATCAGTCGTGTCTTTGGATCTACTCCACCCTCAAAAGCTGTTGAAGAAGTAGTAAAAGAGAAGGTTACTGAAATATCACAATCCCACAAAAGGCTGGAAATTCCTGATGAAATAGTATCACCACAAGAAGTTGAGGAATTTTTGAGATTGCTCAAAAGAAGTAACTACAGGGTGGTGGATCAGCTCCACCAAACTCCTTTAAAGATCTTGGTACTATCGTTCCTATTTCATTTAGAGGCTCATAGGAAGGCTTTGTTGAAGGTGCTCATATAAGCGCATGTAGCACAAGGAATCACTGTGGACCAGCTCAATGGAATTGTATCCAGTATCACTGCTTGCCATAACTTGAGTTTTCATGATGGAGAACTTCCTGAGGAGGGAAGAAACCGTAATCGAGCTCTGCATATTTCTGTGAAATGCCTGTATGATGTTTTAGCTCGAGTGTCAGTGGATACAGGGTCTCCATTAAATGTAATTCCAAAGTTTATTTTGGCCAATATGTCTTAGAGACCGTGATGAGACCCAGTATGATGATTGTAAAAGCTTTTGATGGATCTCGTAGATCTGTGATTGGAGAGGTGGACTTTCCAATACTAGCGGGACCACATGTCTTCAAGATAACTTTCCAAGTCATGGATATCAACCAAACATACAACAGTTTGTTGAGAAGACCATGGATCCACGCTGCTGGCGCAGTAACATCCACATTCCATCAAAAGATGAAATTCATGGTAAATGGAAAGTTGATCACAGTATCTGGTGAAGAAGATTTATTAATTAGTCACCTTTCATCGTTTAGATATATTGAAGTTGATGAGGAAGCATTGGAAACTACTTTCCAAGCTCTTGAAATTGCCAATGCTGTTTTCTTGGAAGTGAAATACCAAGACATTGATGTGGGCCCATCATTTACTTCTTTGAAAGGTGCTAAGGCAATGCTTGAGAGAGGTAGTATTGAAGGATGGGGTCAAGTGATTCACATTCCTGAGAAGAATTATCGTTTTGGGATGGGATACACGCCTCAGATGAATGAAGGTGTCTAAGGTTCCTTCAGAGCTAAAACACGATATTTTCAAGAGATGTTCCACAGTGCGGGATCGATCCATGACAAAGAGGTGACCGCTGTAGAAGACAAAGTAGTTGATTTAACAATACCATGCTTGGTGTATCATTGCATAACCGATTTGAACAACTGGGAATCTATTGACTTGCCTGAAGTTTTTCCATTATCAAAGTAACTTATTTTCATTTCTCAAAATCCTTTTGCTCTGCCCAAGGCTTAAGGATCATATGTAAGCCCCCATTTATTTCAAATGATTATAATCATCAATAAAAAAAAAAATTTGTCTTTCATTCTTCTCTTTTATTTTGCTTTAAAGAGAATGACAACCTTTTCAAAACCACAAAAGCATTTTTTCTTTTTGCATTTACTTTTTTTTTTCTTTCTAAAATCAACATAAAAATCATGCAGAATAATCAATGAACCCGTTGAACTCGATAATGCTACAATCCCTCCTAACTTTGAGACCCATGTAAACCAAGCGGCCCGAACTACGAATGCTCTGACATCCTCATTGCACTATGAGGATGCATAGACATGAGATTGTGATGATCTTGGTAAACACCCTATAAAAATAAACCACCCAGTCCCTATTTTATTCCCTTCTTAATAACTTGAGAAACCTAACATTTATAAGCAAATTTTAACACACACATCTAACATAATGGTTTTCGTTGTGTACAATGGACGTGAGGGGTGCTAATACATCCCTTTTGCGTAACCGACTCCCAAAATCAGATTCTTGGGTGATGACCATGTCTTTTCCTTTCGTCTAGGGGTTTTATCGATATTTTCCCTTTTCCCTTAGAAGAATAAATAAAGTTCGGTGACGACTCTGTTAGTCCATCCTGCGAGCGTGCGATTGCACCCCGCGAGATCGTCTCTTATTTTTTGAGGTACGACAGCTGGCGACTCTACTGGGGACTTTCCCATCCCTAAGTGAGTCAGGCCTAGTTAGGTTTTGTTTGTGTGTTTATGTCTGCTTTATTTTTATGGCTTTTCTTTACAAGGATCTCGCTCAGAATAGATTCTCACGATGGAGTTGAAGTCCGACATATAGTTGCCGATGACAACAAACATTCGTGTGAATTGATGACTCTGAGAACCTTGTCTAGAACCATAGTCGATGGTCACTAGTACGGGCCCTCGAGAGGTAGATCTCGAAGGTCGGTACAAAGATCTCTCTTAGAAAAGGTTTGATATAACAATGATTTTTGAACAAATTCTTGCATTACGCTTCATCTTTGGATGTGAGCAAAATTATTTGTAACACAAAATTGATCCGTTCATCAGATTCTTCCTCTACAAACTCAACCTCGGCATATTCATCGTTCTCAACTGTAGGATCTTCTCTTTCCCCATCTTCCTCATTTTCTTCCACAATATCAACGACTCTCCTTATTGGACAAACATTTGATATGTGACATCTTCTGTTACAACGATAACACATGTCTCCAGTGGGTTTAACATATGGATTATTCTGCCTCTGAATTTGTGTTTTACCCTGCTGCACACCGCTAGAGCTGCTAGCTCCCTTATTCGCAAGATTGGAATCCCTGGTTGTTGCACTCCTTTCCTTTTCACATGCAGATTCAAAGTTATTATGGAATAAATACCTTCTAAATGATGAGAAATTTCCACGGGATTTCTCCATTAATTATGTCTTCATAGCTAGTCTGAATGTCTCATCCACGTTCCATATAATTTGCAAACTCATTTTCTTCTGCAAAGATCCCTTTAACCCACTGATGTATCGAGCTACCTTCCGACTTTCTGATTCTCCCAATTCATTACGCTCAGAGAAACACAAGAACTCAAATGTGTATTTAGTCACAATTTTGCTGCTCGAAACACACTCAATATACATCTTATAAAGAATTTGTTCATAATCCTTTGGCAAAAACCACTTCAGCATCAACTGTTTCATCCTTTGCCAAGATCTAATTGGTCCATATCTTTGCCCTTGCCTCTGAACAACAACAATACTCTCCAGTCTGATCGCGACCATCTTAACTTGCTAGTTCTCAGGGACGTCCATAACGTCGAAGAACCTGTTGACGTCGATATGTCAATCCAAAAATTTCTCAACTCTCACCGTCTCATATAATAATGGAATATCAGCCCTCACTCGACAATCATGGTTATGTTGATTTCCATGATCAACTATCTCTTCCTATCATGGTTCTTCTTCTTCAGAACTCAAATTTTCAGCAATAACAATACAATGATTGTTGACACCCCGTGAAACCCTAACCTGTTCTCCTCCCTGATTCCTGTTGTTGTTCACCTTATTTGCTAAATTCATCATCTCTTCAATCAAAGTAGTTAGAGTCGTGGTAACTCCCTTTAGATCTGCTATGGTTACCGTTTAATTTTCCATGGCTGATCAAGTTACAAAAGGAAACAGGAGAAAACCTACTCTGATGCCACCTGACAACATCGTAAACACTATGAATTAACAAGCGCTAAATTTAGAATGAGAACACACAATTACAAACACAAAACCTGTCAGATAAACGCTAAAATCCACCAAATAGAAAAACTATTGAATTTTATTAAATCAAAGATAATTTTAAAAATTTAAAAGTCACTCATAAAAGTAATCTTAATAGAATTAAAAATACCCTAATTAACTTTTTAATCCAAAAACAAAAATAAAACATAAAACTACGTAAAATATTTTAATATTTTGTGAGGCGCGATTTCTACTTCGACCCTAGCCTTACTATTTTGTGAGGCACCTTAACAGTTGAGTTTTATTACAATATTTTATGCAATTTAATTAGGTTTAAATATTTTGAGATAGTTGCTGTTACTTTGATGAGCTACATAGTGAAAAGCTAAAAGCTACGCGTTTTGAATTTATTCTAATTATTTACTCATGCTAAAAATAAAATAAAAACAATTTAGACATTTAATTTAAGCTAATCTTTACCACATGTTTCTTAAGTAAACACTCAACAAAAACAGGATGTGTGGCAGGGTAGGTTATCCATACACCTTTCCTTCAACTGTAAATTTTAAACATGGGGCCATCTCTCATCTCATTATTTTCTTTCATTTCTCTCTAACAAAATATAAATTAAATATATATTTCACATACTTATGCACTACTTTCTTGTTAGTAATCAAACTCTAGCGACGAAATCAATATTACTGGGCTAATTGAATCGACATTGTCGGCCCACAGGCCCACTCAAGTGGGACCGATTTCACGCTCACGGGTCAACTTTTGCTCCATGGCCCACGTAGATTCCACTATTTGTCTATTTCCAGTCACAACATAAGGTAAATGCTAGAATCTTCCTACCTTTCTTAACAACTAAGTTTATATCTTAATTTATAGACTCAATCAAAATCTCAATCTTTCATTTCACATTTAATTAATTAATTTATCAATAAATCTAAATTTATTTCAAACACCAAAACCTGGACCCCTAAAACGTGTTGGAGATCTATGTGCTCAAATGAAAATATTTTACTTTATTAAACCTCGTGTACGACTCTGAAACACAGGTTATGCTATATTTCCGCCACGCGTCCAATGTCAATGCCATTATATTTAAAAAACTTAAAATTCAAAATTTTAAAACTGGAAAATAAAAAATAATACTAATAGTAATACAGATTTATTTTTTAATAACGGCTTGCGCCCTTGGGGTTTATGAAACGAGAGACAAACTTGCGTTTTGAGGAGGGTTTACTTTGTAGAGCCGTTGATATTTCGAATCAGAAAATGAACGGCCGAGATGAGATCTATGACATTGGAGTTTTCTATTTAGAGATAGAAATGGAAGTAAAGTTTACTTTTCCTTTTACAATCGAGAAGAGGGAGTTTCTTATTCCTTCCAGAGGCTTCTACCGGAATCTAGAAATTAGGGTTTTTATCGATCGCGATTGAAAAACTGAGATTTTGAGTTTTGAGAAGTTATGGCAGATCATCAAGAGCATGATGAAGTAAAGAGTGAATCGTTGTTGGAGAAGATTTCTGGGAAGATTCATGACCATGATTCGTCTTCTTCTTCGTCGGATTCGGATAACGAGAAGGAGAAGAAGAGTTCGTCGCCTTCTTCACTGAAGAATAAGGTTTATAGGCTTTTTGGCAGGGAGAAGCCGCTTCACAATGTTCTTGGTGGAGGAAAACGTATGTGCTTGCTTTTTTCTTTCTTTTTTTCTTTTTTTTTTTTAAATTTACTGTATTGTTTGTTCTTCACATGCAATAGTTGATCGGTTTGATTTATGCTATAATTTTATGAATTAAAGATTTGTTAATTTGTTCTTCAGTGGTTTAGTTGGTTTTTACTGGGTCTAGGGTTTTGGAGGCTTAGGTCAGATCTTGTTCGTTCTGATCTTGATTCTTGTACTCTGTTTATTGTTTTTAATTTAAATCTGAAAAATTTATATGCAGAGTGTTTGATGTTTAGATCTACAATCCACTGTTCACTTTTTTTTTATTGTTTTCCCCCAATTTTGCTGTTGTCAATTACTAGTGATTGAAGATCGATATTTTTAGCTGGGATTAACACTGAATTTGTTTGTGTTGGATAAAGTTTACATTTTTATTCAATTTAAACTGTCAAGTCTAACATTAGAGACTTACCTTGGGATTTTAACCACAATCTATGACATCAGGCTTTTGGGATTTTTTCTGGCATACATTCTCTTTTTTATTACCTTGTATGTTTGTACTATACATTGAATGGTATGTTGTTTTATTATAACACTGAATGTTGTTTTGATGTGGTGCAGCTGCTGATGTTTTTCTATGGAGAAATAAGAAGATATCAGCAACCACCCTTGGTGTGGCGACAGCTTTCTGGGTTCTGTTTGAATTACTTGAATACCATCTCCTGACTTTGGTTTCCCATTTAGCGATACTTGCTCTGGCTGTGTTGTTCTTATGGTCAAATGCATCCACTTTCATCAACAAGTAAAAGTTTCTTTTACTGTGATTAAATTTGGGGTTTTGATGTATTTCCTTTTCTGTTAGTTGATTGAGTTTTGGTGTTTTGATTTTGATTAGGACTCCACCAAAGATCCCACATGTGCACATTCCTGAGGAACCTGTTTTACAGATTGCCTCTGCTATTAGAATTGAGATCAATCGGGCTTTTACTCTATTAAGGGAGATTGCTTCTGGAAGAGATCTCAAGAAGTTTCTCTCGGTATGTTGGTTTCTCTGTATCATTGTTTTGCTGTCATTTGTTGCATTTGCTCCATCCCATGATGTTTAAGACTGCAATTGACATTTTTGTTGTTTGTTTTCATGCTTATTTCAACTTCATAGCTTGTGTTAATTGTTAATTGTGAGTTTTGTTTTGTATTGATTAGGTCATTGCTGGATTATGGGTTTTATCTATTGTTGGAAGTTGGGCCAACTTCTTGACTTTGTTCTATATAGGTAATGAAATGCCTCTTATATCATTCACTTTTACTTCCTTGAAAGTTCAAATTTAATTTAAGATGTAACGTGTGTCCTTGTTATAATTTTGTGAAAACAGCTTTTGTTTTGCTCCACACTGTACCTGTGCTTTATGAGAAATATGAAGATCACGTCGACTCTTTTGGTGAGAAGGCACATGTTGAGTTGAAGAAGCAGTATGCTGTGTTTGATGAAAAGGTATTGAGCAAGATTCCCAAAGGACCTCTGAAAGACAAAAAGAAAGATTGAAGGGCTGACAAGTATGTTGTAGTCGGGTTTCTCCGATGCTGTTATATTCTGATTCATCATCAGTTTAAACCCTGTGATGTTATAATTTTATTTTTTTAGGGTTTGTTAGGAGACATTGCCGGAAGGAATGCTTTATATGTTTTTGTGGAGCTTACATGTACGCCTTGGAATATCTTATATGTTTATGGTTGACTTGCTGTTGTGTTGTATGTTCTTGGTGAATATAGTACTTTCTGCTGTTGAATGTTTTCATAGGAATCGGTACTGGTACTTATGTCACCTAACTGGCAATATCAGTTGTTAGACATGTTTCCTCTAGTTTACATGATCTGCCTAGATTTAAAAATGGGAATTTTTCTCTGCCCTGCCATCTTTTTAGAACTTTTTAGAAAGATATTTTTAAAATGCTATATATTTAAAGACATATATCAAAATGCCACTTTCAAAAAAATTGGAATTTTTAATTAGGTGCCGCGGGCGGTAGTGTAGTGTTCAATGGGCGGTATATATATTATTATTAATATTAATATTAATAATGTTAAAATTAATATAATTAATTAATATATAATAATGTTAATATTAATATAATTAATTAATATGAATAAGTTTAAAATTAATTTATATTAATTAATATTATTAATAGTAATATAGGTTGATAATAATAATTAATATTATTTATTAAGAGATAATGAAGTTAATATAATTAATATATAATTTATATTAATTAATATTATTAATTAATATTATTTAATACATATTAATAAAAGGGTAATGTTAACTTGTGCCCTTGGGGCGCATGTTAAGAACTAAATTAAGAAATATCATCTTAGAAATTATGTACAAATTTAAATTAGTATAAAATTAATTTTAAATTGTTTTTTCCAATACACATTTACTAAAAATGGTTTCCTTAACATGTGTCCCAAGGACACAAGTTAACATTACCCTAATAAAAATACTAACGACTATTTGTTTTCGTATCAAGACATCAGGTTCGATTGTGGCCTATTTGACGGTACATGAAACATTTCCTCTCAAGCTTACATTTCCTCTCAAGCTTATTAAAGTTGTCTATTTCCGTTCTAATGTGTGTTTATTGGTGACCTTTTTTATTTTTCTGCAAATTTGATCTCCTATTTTGTTGTTTCTTGTTTCATAACCAATTCAACATAGCACTTTACTTTGCGATCCCAGTCTATAATATGTTGCCCTTACGAATGCTGTAAAGAGCAAATTTTGTGTGTCTTTAAAGACAACATTTAATGACTCAACAAGGTTTCCACAAGGGCAAAAGCAACAGGAAAAATGTTGTTGTTGTTATCTTGTGTCACTGCCATAATACCGTATAACCAGGTTCCATATAGGTTTGCAATAGCCGTCATCTGTATACATGGGTAATGTTTCTATTTCCAGCACAGTGTTTGAAATAAATTTTTTAAGTGCTAACAGAAAATGTGGAAGTTCATTATATGAGTTCTCCCAGTTACTGTATACCTGTTCAATTGCCTTATTCCTAGCAATTCATGTCTTCCAGTAAGACAGAGTCCTAGCAATTCATGTCTTTCAGTAAGACGGAGTAAAATTGTATTAAAAAACAATTTTACTTATGCAAACACTAACCTTGATAGAAGGATCCTTGTCTATTGTTGCAAACACTAACCTTAATAGAAGGATTCTTGTCTACAAATGGAATTAATTTCTGAGACATTAACTGCCCAAATGGGTCGAAGCTGAGCCATCTAAGGTCTGTCTTCCCGGTTTTCCCAGACGCGAGTCATCTTCTTCATCAGGCTTCCTTCTCGCAGTCGAAGTGGTAGCGGTACTGGAACGAGTTCCCTATTCGATATGGTTTCATTCCACCAGTCCGATAGCACTGGGTCAAAGGGCTTCACTTCGGAACCTTTTCTTGCCCGTGGGCATGAAATTAACCCTGAGGTGACTCTGTCCCTGGCATCCCTTTCTGCCCCCCAACTTTATTCACTTCGCGGTAAACGCAATAGCCAGTAGGTCAAAGCCTGGGGTCCAAGGGCCCCCTACTACCCAATTCCTGTCTTCGGAACTACGGGGATAAGTTACTTTCTGCGATGGCCCTCCACCTCGTTGGGAAAAGTTAAAGGAAATAACAAGCCCTAAACTAAATACCAACTAGCAGCTTATCAACCACCGAACACAGACTCATGTTGGCGATGCCATGGTCAAGTAAGAGAACGAGTCATTCATCCTAAGTAGTATTTTAGTATAGAAGAAAGGCATTTTGAGCCTACTACTACAACTACATGCGCATCTAGTGCAGTGGCTTGGAAGCAAGCTACCTTTATGGGGTGGGTTCATAATGCCTATCTCCCACAAGTCACTTCTTTTTTAGTAGGACGCCAATAGACGGAACTTGCAGGAATCATTCTTGCAACAACAAATTATGTATCTCTCCTTGTCGGAATCCGTCACTTTATTATAATCTACACAGTGTTTCATGACTTCTATGTCACCTTCCATTGGAATATGAGGGTTCGTGGCCATTCAAATGATGTTCCTTCTACATTTAGCGGCAGGGTTGTCATATGCGCCGGTGGGCTGAATACATTCTCAACTGAAATGTGTTGTTCATCTCTGTTGACTTCGTTGACACCGTTTCCTTTCTCAAAAAAAGTAGTATATAAATCATCAACCTGTGCCTCGTTTTCTTCTTCGTCGTCTTCTTCTTCAACATCTTTGTGTGGAATTATGGTTGGCGTTTCCTCTACGGATGGATTGATGACCTGAGCAATTTGAGTTTCTTGACATTGTGCAAATGTTATATATAATTCAATGTGCGGAAACCCAAAACGTTCATGATTTGAGAAAATCGTTTCAACATTCTCGTCGTCACAAACCTTTAATGGAACAAATTTAAAGCGATGGTCTCCAAAATGGACAACATTTTTGTATGTAATCTGTGTAACTGATCCTACTTGCACCTTCATCTATACCCTATCTTTAAAATGTTGGAATGACAATCTTTTATTAACACTCAAACGAATGACGATCTTTTATTAACACTCAAACGAATTACGTCAGTGTTTTCAAAGATCAAACTCATTTCATCTGATACAACAACACTCCCATTGTAATGAGCATTAACAATATATTGTTGACTAGTAGACATTATATAAGATGATGATGAAATAGTATGAAGAAATAGTATGAAAATATTTGAAGATGATGAAAAAATAATGGGAACTACTCATAGTTATAAAGCAAATGATAGAATACATTTGACATTTTCAGCCTTGCATGCAAGAATATCACACGTTGCATTTGGTCAACAACAGAATATATGTGCCGCCCATTAAATTCGCGGAAATCAGACATAATTAAGGTGTGCCGCCCATTGCTTATGCGGCAGTCAGAAAAGGAATAAATGTGCCGCCCATTGATTATGCGGCAACTGCCCATTCAAAGGGTGGCAGTCAGACACGTCAGGTTTCTGCTCCCATGCATGCAGCCACGTACATCTCAAAATTATTTTTCACCAACATCTATTTAATTCTTACCTACATCAATTTAATTCTTATCCACATTAATCTCCTATAAATACCATATCACTACTATTACAAATTCATCTCAACACTCTATCAATCTTAAAAAAATTTCTACTACCACTCTACTACCAATCTTAAAAAAATCTCTACTACCACTCTTACAAAATGATTTTACTAACCTTAGGAGATGATCATCGCGGTACACTTGCAAACATTGCATCATATATAAGTTAAACTTATTTATAATGTTTACAATCATATAATATTTATGTTAGTTATTTAAAATCTTATTTAAAATATTTACAATCTTATTTAAAATGTTATAATGTTATTTATCTCATTTAAAATATTTAAGTTGTTAATTGTTAAAATATAAATAACATTATAATATTTATGTTAGTTATTTAAAATTTTATATAAAATATTTACAATCTTATTTAAAATGTTATAATGTTATTTATCTTATTTAAAATATTATAATGTTATTTATCTTATTTAAATTGTTACATTTTAATAATGTTATTTAAAATATTTTTTTGTATGATGAAACAAATTTCAAACCACGCTCACATAAGTACATAGAGCCTGATGAAATTATCGAATCATATTTGGTTCAAGCGGGTTTCGGTCACGTCATCGAGATAACTTCATATGAAATTGATCGCAAATTTCTTCTCACCTTGTGCGAAAGATGGCGACCAGAAACCCACACATTTCACTTCTCCACAGGTGAATGGTCACTGTGGAGAATACACAGTGACCCTGGAGGATGTCCATATGTTATTAGATCTCCGTGTCATGGGTTAGCGGTTGTTGGTGACACAAACGTTAAGTATGAATCAGTGGAAAAACTATTGGGGGTGCCTTTGAAATGAAGTGATAGGAAGGGGCAAGCCTTAAAATTACATGGCTAAAAAGAATTTATGGTGCTTTGAACTTGACCGCGGAGTCTCCCGAAGAACTCAAAATTTATAAAAGTAGAATTTATATATTATTGCTTTTTGCATGCTTTTTATTTCCTGATACTAATGGTAATACTATCCATCTTCAAATTTTACCGTTATTAGAAGATTTAAGTCAAATAAGTAGATATAGTTGGGGCGCTACTACCTTAGTGCATCTATACATAAATTTGTGTAAATGCGCAAAGAAAAATGTGCATAATTTTGCTGGTTGTGGCGTTTTGATTCAAGCTTGGGGATGGTCCAGAATGCCCAGATTGGCGCCGATAAACTCCAATCCATATCACTTTTCATATGCAACCAAGTAAGTATACAAAGTTTATGTATATATACTTTCATCATTGTACTCCTAGGTATAAGAAGTTCTTCTATCATTTTGAGGAAGATGATGTATTGTCTCTAATACTTATACTACAGTCACTTTTCATTTTTTTAAACTCTAATCCCTTTTTAACTATATTATAGTTTCTATGGAGGCCCTATCTTGAACTTGAAGATGATGATCCAACTGAAAGCGACA